GAACCATGCAGTGTTCCCTTGCTCTGTTCTGACGACTGCCTCCTGGTCCAAGTATAAGTTTCGCATTAGAACGATCAAGTGTTCTGGGATTCCCATTCTTTTCAGAGTCAGCCATAGTTTGTGCAGTTAAAGACTGGAATTCTCCTCCCTGGAATTAACAGACTCAGAAAACAGGGTCATTTGTGAGTCCGAATCAGAATGAGCTGAGGTGTGGTTAGGTTAAATTCGGGTTTTTGGTTGGTGTTTTTTTTGTTGTTGTTGGTTTTTGTTTTTCAGTTTAGAGTCTGGAAGTCCCTCACCAGGCCTTCTGGTTTGCCTGGGACCTCCAGCATCTTTCTTAGCAACACAAGAGAGTTGTCAGCACTTCCAGTCACCATGGAGCTGAAGGGTGAGCATCACTCTGGCCCACTCCTCCCAGAAGCCAAAGAAGGAGCGACTTTCTGCATTCTTGGGAGCTCTGGTGGGCAGCAGGGCTGAAGAGCACAGGACACCTCTGCTTCTCTGCACCCTGTTAGATGCCAAGTGGGCTGCCTGCTTGCACCATCCAGGAATCTAGAGAAGAGAAGCCAGTTCACCCACCCGCTCATTGCCATTCAGCTGGAACCCAATCACTTTGGCGAAACAGAAGCCCTCCACTGGGTTTGCAAACCTATGAATTGTGTGGAATGATATTGTCCGTCTTTCTCCCTTGACTGGGCTGCTGGATTCGAACTGCCTGAGAGGGTCAGCCCATTTCCCTGTGTGAGCCTCTGTCTCCAGGGAAGCTGTCACTATCCGTGTCATTCTCTGAACCCTGGTGGTGCAGTGGCTAAGTCGTTCCTCTCCAGATAACCCAGAATGTATGGGTTTGAAGTTAGCAGCTGCTCTGTGAGAAATGTGACAGTCTGACTTTGTAAAAGGAGAGTCTGAAAACCCCAGGGACAGTGCTCTGTCCCCCAGGACCCCCAGGCCTCAGGAATCACTCATTGGCATGGGCTGGCTTTGGTTCAGGGCGTTAGAAGCGTCATCTTTGGGACAGGAACGCAGCAGTGCATGCAAGATTGTTTAAAAGTAAGAAAAAAAGGACCTGAAAGAAAGCCAATGCAGCAGGACTGAGTTTTTGAGATGTTTTATGTAAGTTACTGATTCACAAATTTGGATAATTAGTCACTGACAGTTTCTAGAGCTGCCTTTTCAAGTATGCAAACTTTAAATGAGGGCTTTTGTATATTTTATATATATCTATATGTATATTTAAAAACCACCTTCAAGCTCATTCCGGTGGAGTGGGAGCCAAGTCTTCAGGTTGGCAGCACGAACTGGGCCACCAGTGCCCCTACCAGCTGGTTTCCAGCAGCCTGTGAATCCCAAAGGAGGAGACTGTAGGTCTTTCTCCTTCACAGCGGCTGGGGGATTTGAACCCAGAGAGGTGCCACTTAGGGGTTAGCAGTGCAACTCCCTATGGACTAGACCACCAGAGCTCCCCCCTGCATACTGTGGTTGTTAGTACGACTCACAGCAACCCTATGAACAATATGGATCTGCACCATGTCCCACCCTGTGCCACCCTCACTATCTGCATACATTACCCCAGAGCTGCAGTCACTGTGTTAATCCATCCCATCCAGGGTTTTCCTCTTTCACTGACCTTTTGTTTTTACAAGCGTGATGTCCCTTTCCAATAAATAGTGTCTCCTAACAACATGTCCAAAGTATGTGAGATGAAGCTTGGCCATCTTTGCCTCCAGGAAGCACACTGGCTGCACCTTCTCCAAAACATATCTGTTTTTTTTGCAGTCCAATAATGTCCTTCACCATAACTTGAAGGCATCATTTCTTCTTCTGTCATCCTTATTCATTGTCCAGCTTTCAGATGCATAGCAAGTGACTGAAAAGACCATGACTTGAATCAGGTGCACCTTAGTCCTTAAAGTTACATCATTTCTGCTCAGTACTTTAGAGAGATCCCTGACAGCAGACTTAACCAATGCAATACGTCTCCTGATCTCCTGTTTTGCATATTAGGAAAATAAAAAAAAAAAGAAGCTCCAAGACCTACTTGACCACGGTTTAAAGCTGACCACCAGGCCATTCCTTTTTTTTTTTTTTAACCAGGCCATTATTCTGGTCTGCAATCCCTAACACTACAGACTTAAGTTATTTACCTTTAATGAAGGTATAGGCAAACAGGATGGGAGTTGTTGTTGTTATGTGCTATTGAGTTGAGTACGACTCATAGTTACCTTATGAACAAAAGATCTGAACTCTGTTCTATCTTGTGTCATCCTCACAATTCCTGACACACAAGAGGCCATTATGGTAGTCACCACATCAACCCACCTGGTGGAGGGTCTTCCTCTGCTTCACCAACCCTCCACCGTTCCCAGCATCAGGTCCCTCTCCAAGGAATAACACTTCCTAGCAACATGTCCAAAGTATTTGAGATAAAGCCTCGTCATTTTTGCCTCCAGAGAACACTCTGGTTGCACTCTCTCCAAGACATATCTGTTTGTTCTTTTGGCTGTCCTTAAGATGTTCAGCACTTTTCTCCAATACCACAGCTCAAAGGCATCAATTCTTCTGGCATTTTTATTCATTGTTCAGCTCTCAGATGCATAGAAGTGATGGGAAAGACTGTGGTCTGAATCAGACACATCTTAGTCCTCAAACTGACATCATTACTTCTCAACAATTCAGAAAGGCCCTTAACTGCATATTTTTCCAGTGCCAAGGGTCTCCTTGTTTCCTGACTGCTGGTATCAAGGATGTTAATTGTAGATCCAAGCAAGATGAATCTGTTGACAGTTTCATTCTCCTCTCCATCCATCATGATATTGCCTATTGGTTCAGTGGTAAGAATCTTTGCTTTCTTGACATTGATGATTCAGCCTGATGGGCTGCATAGGAATTGGATTGACAACATTTGTGGACAAAATTATTTGAGAAGCTCAATATTGTCAGTCAAAACTAGGCCAGGGGCAGATTGTGGATCAGGCCATCAACTACTCTTATGCAGGTTCAAATTGAAGCCAAAGTAAATGAAAATAAGTCCACAGAACTCAAGATATGATCTTGAATAAATTTCATTGAATTTCAAGGTCATTTTAGG